TGAGTGAGTGAGTAAGTGAGTGAGTGTGTGAGTGAGTGAGAGTGTATGAGTGAGTGTGTGAGTGAGTGAGTGAGTGAGTGAGAGTGAGTGAGTGAGTGAGTGAGTGAGTAAGTAAGTGGGTGAGTGAGTGAGTGAGTGTGTGAGTGAGTGAGTGAGTGAGTGAGAGTGAGTGAGTGAGTGAGTGTGTGAGTGAGTGAGTGAGTGAGTGAGTAAGTGGGTGAGTGAGTGAGTGAGTGAGTGAGTGAGTGTGAGAGTGAGTGAGTGAGTGTGTGAGTGAGTGAGTAAGTGAGTGAGTGTGTGAGTGAGTGAGAGTGTATGAGTGAGTGAGTGTGTGAGTGAGTGAGTGTATGAGTGAGTGAGTGAGTGAGTGAGTGTGTGAGTGAGAGTGTGTGAGTGAGTGAGAGTGTGTGAGTGAGTGAGAGTGTGTGAGTGAGTGAGAGTGTGTGAGTGAGTGAGTGTGTGAGTGAGTGAGAGTGTGTGAGTGAGTGAGCGAGTGAGTGTGTGAGCGAGTGAGTGAGTGAGAGTGAGTGAGTGAGTGAGTGAGTGAGTGAGTAAGTAAGTGGGTGAGTGAGTGAGTGAGTGAGTGAGTGAGTGAGTGTGTGAGTGAGTGTTAGAGTGAGTGAGTGTGAGAGTGAGTGAGTGAGTGTGTGAGTGTGTGAGTGAGTGAGTGAGTGAGTGAGTGAGTGAGTGTGAGTGAGTGAGTGAGTGTTAGAGTGAGTGAGTGAGTGAGTGTGTGAGTGAGTGTTAGAGTGAGAGTGAGTGAGTGAGTGAGTGAGTGAGTGAGTGAGTGTGTGAGTGAGTGTTAGAGTGAGAGTGAGTGAGTGAGTGAGTGAGTGAGTGAGTGTGTGAGTGAGTGAGTGAGTGTTAGAGTGAGTGTTAGAGTGAGAGTGAGTGAGTGAGTGAGTGAGTGAGTGAGTGAGTGTGTGAGTGAGTGAGTGAGTGTGTGAGTGAGTGTTAGAGTGAGAGTGAGTGAGTGAGTGAGTGAGTGAGTGAGTGTGTGAGTGAGTGAGTGAGTGTTAGAGTGAGTGAGTGAGTGAGTGAGTGAGTGAGTGTGTGAGTGAGTGAGTGAGTGAGTGAGTGAGTGAGTGTGAGAGTGAGTGTGAGTGAGTGAGTGAGTGAGTGAGTGAGTGAGTGAGTGAGTGAGTGAGTGAGTGAGTGAGTGAGTGAGTGAGTGAGTGAGTGTGTGAGTGAGTGTGAGTGAGTGAGTGAGTAAGTAAGTGGGTGAGTGAGTGAGTGAGTGAGTGAGTGTGAGAGTGTGTGAGTGAGTGTGAGTGAGTGAGTGAGTGAGTGAGTGAGTGAGTGAGTGAGTGAGTGAGTGAGTGAGTGAGTGAGTGTGTGAGTGAGTGTGAGTGAGTGAGTGAGTAAGTAAGTGGGTGAGTGAGTGAGTGAGTGAGTGAGTGAGTGAGTGAGTGAGTGAGTGAGTGTGTGAGTGAGTGTGAGTGAGTGAGTGAGTAAGTAAGTGGGTGAGTGAGTGAGTGAGTGAGTGAGTGAGTGTGAGAGTGAGTGAGTAAGTGAGTGAGTGTGTGAGTGAGAGTGAGTGAGTGAGTGAGTGAGTGAGTAAGTAAGTGGGTGAGTGAGTGAGTGAGTGTGTGAGTGAGTGAGTGAGTGAGTGAGTGAGTGAGAGAGTGAGAGAGTGAGTGAGTGAGTGAGTAAGTAAGTGGGTGAGTGAGTGAGTGAGTGTATGAGTGAGTGAGTGAGTGAGTGTGTGAGTGAGTGAGAGTGTGTGAGTGAGTGAGAGTGTGTGAGTGAGTGAGTGAGTGAGTGAGTGAGTGAGTGAGTGAGTAAGTAAGTGGGTGAGTGAGTGAGTGAGTGTGTGAGTGAGTGTGTGAGTGAGTGAGTGAGTGAGTGAGTGTTAGAGTGAGTGAGTGAGTGTTAGAGTGAGAGTGAGTGAGTGAGTGAGTGAGTGTGTGAGTGAGTGAGTGAGTGTGTGAGTGTGTGAGTGAGTGAGTGAGTAAGTAAGTGGGTGAGTGAGTGAGTGAGTGAGTGAGTGAGTGTGAGAGTGAGTGAGTGTGAGTGAGTGAGTGAGTGAGTGAGTGAGTGAGTGTGAGTGAGTGAGTGAGTGAGTGAGTGAGTGAGTGTGTGAGTGAGTGAGTGAGTGAGTGAGTGAGTGAGTGAGTGAGTGAGTAAGTAAGTGGGTGAGTGAGTGAGTGAGTGAGTGAGTGTGAGAGTGAGTGAGTGAGTGTGTGAGTGAGTAAGTGAGTGAGTGTGTGAGTGAGAGTGAGTGAGTGAGTGAGTGAGTGAGTAAGTAAGTGGGTGAGTGAGTGAGTGAGTGTGTGAGTGAGTGAGTGAGTGAGTGAGTGAGTGAGAGAGTGAGAGAGTGAGTGAGTGAGTGAGTAAGTAAGTGGGTGAGTGAGTGAGTGAGTGTATGAGTGAGTGAGTGAGTGAGTGTGTGAGTGAGTGAGAGTGTGTGAGTGAGTGAGAGTGTGTGAGTGAGTGAGTGAGTGAGTGAGTGAGTGAGTGAGTGAGTGAGTGAGTAAGTAAGTGGGTGAGTGAGTGAGTGAGTGTGTGAGTGAGTGTGTGAGTGAGTGAGTGAGTGAGTGAGTGTTAGAGTGAGTGAGTGAGTGTTAGAGTGAGAGTGAGTGAGTGAGTGAGTGAGTGTGTGAGTGAGTGAGTGAGTGTGTGAGTGTGTGAGTGAGTGAGTGAGTAAGTAAGTGGGTGAGTGAGTGAGTGAGTGAGTGAGTGAGTGTGAGAGTGAGTGAGTGTGAGTGAGTGAGTGAGTGAGTGAGTGAGTGAGTGTGAGTGAGTGAGTGAGTGAGTGAGTGAGTGTGTGAGTGAGTGAGTGAGTGAGTGAGTGAGTGAGTGAGTGAGTGAGTGAGTGAGTGAGTGAGTAAGTAAGTGGGTGAGTGAGTGAGTGAGTGAGTGAGTGTGAGAGTGAGTGAGTGAGTGTGTGAGTGAGTAAGTGAGTGAGTGTGTGAGTGAGAGTGAGTGAGTGAGTGAGTGAGTGAGTAAGTAAGTGGGTGAGTGAGTGAGTGAGTGTGTGAGTGAGTGAGTGAGTGAGTGAGTGAGTGAGAGAGTGAGAGAGTGAGTGAGTGAGTGAGTAAGTAAGTGGGTGAGTGAGTGAGTGAGTGTATGAGTGAGTGAGTGAGTGAGTGTGTGAGTGAGTGAGAGTGTGTGAGTGAGTGAGAGTGTGTGAGTGAGTGAGTGAGTGAGTGAGTGAGTGTGTGAGTGAGTGAGTGAGTGAGTAAGTGAGTGAGTGTGTGAGTGAGAGTGAGTGAGTGAGTGAGTGAGTAAGTGGGTGAGTGAGTGAGTAAGTGGGTGAGTGAGTGAGTGAGTGTGTGAGTGAGTGAGTGTGTGAGTGAGTGAGTGAGTGTGAGTGAGTGAGTGTGTGAGTAAGTAAGTGGGTGAGTGAGTGAGTGTGTGAGTGAGTGAGTGAGTGTGTGAGTGAGTGAGTGAGTGAGTGAGTGAGAGTGAGTGAGTGAGTGAGTGAGTGAGTGAGTGTGTGAGTGAGTGAGTGAGTGAGTGTGTGAGTGAGTGAGTGAGTAAGTAAGTGGGTGAGTGAGTGAGTGAGTGAGTGAGTGAGTGAGTGTGTGAGTGAGTGAGTGAGTGAGTGAGTGAGTGAGTAAGTAAGTGGGTGAGTGAGTGAGTGAGTGTGAGAGTGAGTGAGTGAGTGTGTGAGTGAGTGAGTGTGTGAGTGAGTGAGAGTGTATGAGTGAGTGAGTGTGTGAGTGAGTGAGTGTATGAGTGAGTGAGTGAGTGAGTGAGTGAGTGAGTGTGTGAGTGAGAGTGTGTGAGTGAGAGTGTGTGAGTGAGTGAGAGTGTGTGAGTGAGAGTGTGTGAGTGAGTGAGAGTGTGTGTGTGAGTGAGTGAGTGAGTGAGTGAGTGAGTGAGTGAGTGAGTGAGTGAGTGAGTGAGTGAGTGAGTGACAGGTACCGTTCCCGCCAGCTCGGGCTTCTTTGGCTAGCTGTGCGCGTGTGGCGGCGATCAGGCTATCGTGAGCGAGCTCTTGGACCCGCAGGTACCATGGAGCGCCGGCATCCACACCGTCACCCGAAGAAATCTCCTCCTGCGCCTCGTCCACGTCGTCCTGAACGAACACCAGCGGCTCGGCCGACGACGACAACCCTACAGCACAGAGAGTGTGTGTTGATCACTGCATCATCACACACAGTCAAACCAGACACCTGCAACATTTCTCACATTATCACAGTTTATTCGCTATAGTTACCATAGAAAATGGTAATAAAATATGACAAGAACATTTTCTGTTTTCCATTTGAATTAAGATTCTTTTTCTTACACCATTGGCAGAAAATGTTGCTTGTTTTAAGAAAAAAATCACTTCATTTAAATTCCCCCCCCAGAAAACAAGACATAATCTTATAGCATTTTACTATTTTAGTAAATCCATCTTGATTTAATAATTTTTAGTTTTTTAGACTGGAAACAAGACAAAAATACTGAGTAAGAAAAGCATTTCTTTTGCAGTGTATCAGTTGTCTAGTCTGCTGTGTGATGGAGTGATGGGTTAATAATCGGACCTTTGGCCAGGTTGAGCAGGACGTAGGACGTGCTGTCGTGGTTCTGCAGGTCCTGGAGGATTGTGGGTGTGTGTGTGTGTGTGTGTGCTGGAGGCGAGGGAGACGGCTGATGCAGATGAACCACCAGCGGGCTTCGCTCGGGCCCGAACTCTGACAGCGCTGGGGACCCGGCATGGCTAAGAGCGCTCTCTGAAACACACACACACACACACATCACATATACAGTAAAACCAAAATTTATTCAGACTCCTTCAACATTTCTCACATTATCACGGTTTATTCACTATAGTTCAGAAAATGGTAATGTAATATGACGATAACTCAGAGTTCTCAGATCAGTGGATATTTGACTGGTTTTGTCCGTCCTTCTGTTAGACTCTCACACATGAATTATGTTGAATATCTGTCAGCTGTTAAATTTAACTACACAATTAGAGAATACCAGTTTAGATCAACCAGTGACCAAGCAATGCTTCATGTTGTTCAGTCTGTGTGTAAAAAGAGCATTAGCAATTACAGAAAACACACTTCAGCAGAACATCATCAGCTCAAAGTGGAGGAATCATGTTTTTTCCCACATTTGTATAAATGTTACTGGTAGTCACTGTATGAAGAATATTTGGGTGTAATATGTCACAGTTTACTGTATTTTGCTCTCCTCACTTACATACATGAACTATAGTGTCCTGCACACACTAGTGAAAAAATAACAAAAATTATATCTGGTGTCTGAATAATTTTTGGTTTTGGTTCCGTACTGTGCATTCGGAAAGTATTCACAGCGCTTCACTTTTTCTTGTTATAGCCTTATTCCAAAATGGATTAAATTATTTATTTTCCTCAAAATTCGACAAAATACCCCATAATGATAACGCGAAAGAAGTTTGTTTGGAATCTTTGCAAATTTTATACAAAAGAAAAAAAGAAAAAAAATCACATGTACATAAGTATTCGCAGCCTTTGCTCAATACTTTGTTGAAGCACCTTCGGCACAAGTCTCTTTGAGTGTGATGCTGCAAGCTTGGCACACCTATGTTTGGGCAGTTTCTCCCATTATTCTTTGCAGAACCTTTCAAGCTCCATCAGGTTGGATGGGGAGTGTCGGTGCAGAGCCATTTTCCGATCTCTCAAGAGATGCTCAATTGGGTTCGAGTTGCTGGGCTCTGGTGGGCCACTCAAGGACATTCCCAGAGTTGTCCCGAAGCCACTCCTCTGTTATCTTGGCTGTGTGCTGAGGGTCGTTGTCCTGTTGGAAGATGAACCGTCGCCACAATCTGAGGTCAAGAGCTCTGGAGCAGGTTTTCATCAAGGACATCTCTGTACATTCATCTTTCCCTCGACCCTGACTAGTCTCCCAGTTCCTCATCTTTCCCTCGACCCTGACTAATCTCCCGGTTCCTCATCTTTCCCTCGGTCCTGACTAGTCTCCCGGTTCCTCATCTTTCCCTCGACCCTGACTAGTCTCCCAGTTCCTCATCTTTCCCTCGGTCCTAACTAGTCTCCCGGTTCCTCATCTTTCCCTCGACCCTGACTAGTCTCCCGGTTCCTTATCTTTCCCTCGGTCCTGACTAGTCTCCCGGTTCCTCATCTTTCCCTCGGTCCTGACTAGTCTCCCGGTTCCTCATCTTTCCCTCGACCCTGACTAGTCTCCCGGTTCCTCATCTTTCCCTCGATCCTGACTAGTCTCCCAGTTCCTCATCTTTCCCTCGACCCTGACGAGTCTCCCGGTTCCACATCTTTACCTCGACCCTGACTAGTCTCCAGGTTCCTCATCTTTCCCTCAACCCTGACTAGTCTCCCGGTTCCTCATCTTTCCCTCAACCCTAACTAGTCTCCCGGTTCCTCATCTTTCCCTCGACCCTGACTAGTCTCCCGGTTCCTCATCTTTCCCTCGACCCTGACTAGTCTCCCAGTTCCTCATCTTTCTCTCGACCCTGACGAGTCTCCCGGTTCCACATCTTTACCTCGACCCTGACTAGTCTCCCGGTTCCTCATCTTTACCTCGACCCTGACTAGTCTCCCGGTTCCTCATCTTTCCCTCGACCCTGACTAATCTCCCAGTTCCACATCTTTCCCTCGACCCTGACTAGTCTCCCGGTTCCTCATCTTTACCTCGACCCTGACTAGTCTCCCAGTTCCACATCTTTCCCTCGACCCTAACTAGTCTCCCAGTTCCACATCTTTCCCTCGACCCTGACTAGTCTCCCAGTTCCACATCTTTCCCTCGACCCTAACTAGTCTCCCAGTTCCACATCTTTCCCTCGACCCTGACTAGTCTCCCAGTTCCACATCTTTCCCTCAACCCTGACTAGTCTCCCGGTTCCTCATCTTTACCTCGACCCTGACCAGTCTCTCAGTTCCACATCTTTCCCTCGACCCTGACTAGTCTCCCGGTTCCTCATCTTTCCCTCGACCCTGACTAGTCTCCCGGTTCCTCATCTTTACCTCGACCCTGACTAGTCTCCCAGTTCCTCATCTTTCCCTCGACCCTGACTAGTCTCCCAGTTCCTCATCTTTCCCTCGACCCTGACTAGTCTCCCAGTTCCTCATCTTTCCCTCGACCCTGACGAGTCTCCCGGTTCCACATCTTTACCTCGACCCTGACTAGTCTCCCGGTTCCTCATCTTTACCTCGACCCTGACTAGTCTCCCGGTTCCTCATCTTTCCCTCGACCCTGACTAATCTCCCAGTTCCACATCTTTCCCTCGACCCTGACTAGTCTCCCGGTTCCTCATCTTTACCTCGACCCTGACTAGTCTCCCAGTTCCACATCTTTCCCTCGACCCTAACTAGTCTCCCAGTTCCACATCTTTCCCTCGACCCTGACTAGTCTCCCAGTTCCACATCTTTCCCTCGACCCTAACTAGTCTCCCAGTTCCACATCTTTCCCTCGACCCTGACTAGTCTCCCAGTTCCACATCTTTCCCTCAACCCTGACTAGTCTCCCGGTTCCTCATCTTTACCTCGACCCTGACCAGTCTCTCAGTTCCACATCTTTCCCTCGACCCTGACTAGTCTCCCGGTTCCTCATCTTTCCCTCGACCCTGACTAGTCTCCCGGTTCCTCATCTTTACCTCGACCCTGACTAGTCTCCCAGTTCCTCATCTTTCCCTCGACCCTGACTAGTCTCCCAGTTCCTCATCTTTCCCTCGACCCTGACTAGTCTCCCAGTTCCTCATCTTTCCCTCGACCCTGACTAATCTCCCAGTTCCACATCTTTCCCTCGACCCTAACTAGTCTCCCAGTTCCACATCTTTCCCTCGACCCTGACTAGTCTCCCAGTTCCACATCTTTCCCTCAACCCTGACTAGTCTCCCGGTTCCTCATCTTTACCTCGACCCTGACCAGTCTCTCAGTTCCACATCTTTCCCTCGACCCTGACTAGTCTCCCGGTTCCTCATCTTTCCCTCGACCCTGACTAGTCTCCCGGTTCCTCATCTTTACCTCGACCCTGACTAGTCTCCCGGTTCCTCATCTTTCCCTCGACCCTGACTAGTCTCGCTTCACTGTAGGGATGGTATTTACCAGGTGATCCTCCAGACATGACACTTGCCATTCAGGCCAAAGAGTTCAATCTTTGTTTCTCATGGTCTGAGAGTCCTTCAGGTGCCTTTTGGTAAACCCCAGACGGGCTGTCATGTGCTTTTACTAAGGAGTGGCTTCTGCTGATTGGTGGAGTGGAGAGATGGTTGTTCTTCTGGAAGGTTCTCAGGTCTGATTGGTGGAGAGATGGTTGTTCTTCTGGAAGGTTCTCAGGTCTGATTGGTGGAGAGATGGTTGTTCTTCTGGAAGGTTCTCAGGTCTGATTGGTGGAGAGATGGTTGTTCTTCTGGAAGGTTCTCAGGTCTGATTGGTGGAGAGATGGTTGTTCTTCTGGAAGGTTCTCAGGTCTGATTGGTGGAGAGATGGTTGTTCTTCTGGAAGGTTCTCAGGTCTGATTGGTGGAGAGATGGTTGTTCTTCTGGAAGGTTCTCAGGTCTGATTGGTGGAGAGATGGTTGTTCTTCTGGAAGGTTCTCAGGTCTGATTGGTGGAGAGATGGTTGTTCTTCTGGAAGAGGTTCCCCTCTCCCCACAGTTCTAGGTCTCCGCCCTGACTGAGGCCCTTCTCCCCCGATCGCTCAGCTCTAGGAAGAGTCCTAGTGGTGGTTCCACACTTCTTCCATTTGCAGATGAGCTCATTGGGACCTTCAATGCAGCAGAGATGTTTCTGTACCCTCTTCCCCAGATCTGTGCCTCGACACAACCCTGTCTTGGAGAGCTACAGACAACTCCTTGGACTTCATGGCTTGGTTTGTGCTCTGACATGCACTGTTAACTGTGGGACCTTATATAGACAGATTTCAAACAAACTTCTATCACGTTGTCATTATGGGGTATTGTTTGTAAAATTATTAATTTAATCCATTTTGGAATGGCTTTACATAATAAGGCTTTAACATTATAAAATGTGGAAAAAGTGATGCACTGTGAATACTTTCCGGATGCACCGTAATAAAAACATAACGGTTCATTATGTAAGGTCTTTATACACCACTGAAAACATGGTTCTGTATACGATTTTGCATTTCTGTCCACAGATCCTCCTAAATATTACACAATGCACCTTTAAATCTAATATAGGCAAAACTAAAAGCTTATATGTAAAGGCTGGTGCTGATCTGTGAGCTTCACCTGGCAGGTCCAGTGGGCCGCATGAGGAGGTGTGTGTGGGCGACAGCAACGGGACACATGAGGGCTTGAGGTCCGACTCCTCCAGACTCTGGCCCAGCGGGATCGACGCGTTCTGCACAAACTCGACCAACAGCTGCACACGAACACACAACACAGGTGTCAATCATCAAACCTACAGACTTATACCAATACTTGCACACTTCTCTATTTATTCAGGTGCCATAAGAACAACACAGTTACAACAATCCTAATATAATAATACTCGTACCTAGGGTTGGGTATCGGTTGGGTTTTATCCGATACCAGTACCTACTCGGTATTTTTTAAACGGTTCCGGTGCTTAAACGGTTCTTGAAACGGTACTTAAGAAAACGAAACCGCACACACTTTATCAAAAAATAATACCCTTTTATTTACAGGGCCAAACTGGACACAATATTAACTTAAATTTTTAAACAATATAAATACAAATAATAATAAAACCAATATAAAATAAAAATTCACATTTACATAACATCAAATAAAACAATATTGTATCAAACAATGTAATAATACTGGAGATTAATAGAGATTACTAGCAGGCAGAGCTGCCAACTCTCACGCATTGACCGTGAGACGCAATTGACCCTTTTCACACGCTCTCACGCACGCCACACATCCGTTTTCTCACGCAGAGAAAAATCGCGGACAAAGAGGACACTGACACCGACAGACAAGGTTACTTTTGATATGGAACAAATCCACAGCTGTCAGATTCTGTCAATATTTTTACGAGATTCACACAATAACGTTTTGGCTCTTTGAAATGTGACAGATCGCTGTAGCGCGTCAGTTCAAACGGCACGTGATACAGCAGCCTACAAATACAAATCCACTGCTTCTTAGCTACGCAGCGTTGAGTGAACCTATGAAAGAGAACATCTCTGGTTACTGGTGTAACCTATGTTCTCTCAATAGGGAACGAGATGCTGCCAAGCTCCTTGCGCTGCCGACCAGCTTCCTTTTTCGGCAAAGAAATCTGAGGAGCAGATGGCGCGCGCGCTCCAACATAATATGACGACGTAAGTGCGTCGAAGCGGCGCCCGCTCCATCAGCCAATGATTTGGCTTGATTCTATATGGATTCAGACTATCGCACACCCAGAGGGCGTTCTGACGCGTAATTTTACACGTGAAATGCAGCCAAACCTTGCGAGCAAGAGAGCGCATGCGAGACAGAAGAGACTGTGCGTGTGTGTGTGCCTAATTAAGTCAGGCACCGAAATCAGGCACCGAAATTGTCGTTCTTATTCGGTCTGGTTACTACCGTTTACGTCGGAACCGGTTCCCTACTGGCACCGAGTTTCGGTACCCAACCCTACTCGTACCTCAGAATGCTTTAATCATGCTAGATAAATGTAAACAGCCCACATTAGCCTTGTGATTTGCTTCAACCTTTTCGAACTTTATGAATGAATATTTTATAGAAGGTTCAAGAGGTGTGTGCGATCTGCCGTTAAAAACTACACTCAGAATCGATTCGAGAGAGAATCGCGATGCATTCCGTAAATCTCAGAATCGATCCCGAAGCATTTCTCGATTCAGTGGGAAGTTTAGTGTGGACACATCCAAAGCGCGCACAGATAACGTCTCAGATCGCGAGCGAATGCTAAACTGAGCTCTCTTCCACAGCTTCTTGCACTTGAACGGACAAATGTAAGAAAAGAAAAATTGCGCGTATCCCAGTAAACATAGTGGGTTATGACTTAAGTTAACGTTAAACATTTGAGAAAGTAAACGTGTATCAATATATTAGATCGGTGCATTCGCTCTTAAAGTGACAGTAGCCTAATATTCCTGCTGTGTGTTTAATGCTAATCAAACAAAAGAAAACTCACTCGCTGCTCTCGACTGAACAACTTTAATAAGGATTAATCAAAAAGGATGTTTCATTTATACAGTGAAGAATATGCAGTGTTATTTTACATTGAAAAGCACTGTTTATTTCATTTGTATATTTGATATATATTTATTTGTGCTTTTGCTTGTAATTTGATTATTTGTTCTTATTTTATTACTGACTGTTTACTTGTCTTTAATTATGTTTTACCTTTATATTAGTTTGGCTAGTAGTTGTATCGAAATTGAAATAGAGAATTGAGCATTTTTACTGGTATCTAAAATTTTGCTGTTATTACTGCCTGTTTTTGCAAAATCAGTTTCATAAGTACATTTTCTTAAGTCATCGGCCACAGGCAGGTGTGGCAAAAAGATAGTTTTAGGCCCTGTGTATAACACAAATAACCATTAATATTATCAGTAATATAATATCTGTAATCTTCTCGAACAGTAATACCTCAGGTTTGGAGTCAAGTTCATCAGAAAGCATGGATTCAGAGTAATGTGATCTGTCAACAAGAGAGAGATACATAAACATGTGATGACATCATCAATATATCAGCTATTCTTATCATTTTATTGCCTTAATCATCATCAGTGAGGTATCATGAAAGCTTAGACACTCATAATTCAACCAATTTTTGTGAAATCAACTTTAAATTCGGAACACAACTTTGTTAGACATATGGTGTGGTGAGAAATCGAGTCCCCCCAGGAATCGGGTCTCCTTTAGGACCCAAATGTTATGATTTATATTGTTTAAAATGTGTTATATAATGATGATTAATGTCTTTTAAATTACATGGTTCATGTACTATAACTGAAGCTATAGGTTGTGAAATCAAGCATTTCTAGTTCTTACTGTTTTTTATTTAGCTTGCGTACTAGCATAGCATACATCTAGCCGATTAGCCTGCTAGCCTAGCTTATATTAGGCATGTTTTTTGCTTCCAAAATAGTTCCCAAATACATGTTTCAAATGAATTACGTTTATGTGACAATTAATTTATTAAAAATGTATTATAGTATTATTATATACTGTACCACATTACTATTATTGTGTAACATTAATATTAAATTACTTTTACAGAACATAGTATGTCAACAATTCTTATCTAAAAGAAAAAAACATTGCTAGGCATGGTTTTGTTTCCAGTTTGTTTTATTATGCAACAGACATTCATTTTATATTTCAAGCATGTTGTTTGTGCACTTAATGTAATAAACATCATATAATAGTTCAATAAGTTATAATTAATCAAGACATCGTGATAACTTTTGATCAGGCATTACCGCGTGGGTCCTAAAGGAGACCCGATTCCTCGATTTATCATGACAACAGCTTTAGTTTTATTGCAATTTTAAAGTCCAAATTATTTTCTATGAAATATATTTTATATAAAATAAAACAGGCATTTAGATTTTCACAGTTAACAGGTTAAAAGTATAAGTGAAACTAACCAGGTTCAGGCGGTCAGAGAGAGGTTTCGTCCATCATCTGCATTAATAAAACACACAGCACATTTAAAATATGAAACATGAATTACGCTAAATATACATTACTCACATATTCACCAAATGAATATCAAATTCTTTAAATTAAGTACGTATGAATAACTGAATGAATGAATATAAAGTTGACATGCTTTTAACACTTTCACGAGGCTCAGGCAACCTCAATTCATACTGTTTGTACATAGATGCGCTATATTATTAATGATAAAGTGTTATAAATATGAATCATTTGTCATTAATAAACCACAGTATAAGCCACCGCTAGCAAGAGCACAAATCACCATCATTCTGCTCGCTTTTCTTTCGCTTTTATAAAATTAGATATCTTAAACATACCTGATAGATGACTATGATATACATTTATCTTTATAAAGTCTCTTAACCTTCATCGCCGCTGATGTTTGACAGTGAGAAGCAGAAGCAAAACACAAACACAAAGACAGATCGCGTGCACTTCCGGGTCACACACGGACTGGGAGAGATGTACTTCTGGGTGAAAAACTATTGATCTGCAAACTGATTATGTAGTATATTGTAATGGAAACTAGTGTTGGAAAGCCTGCTTTACTTTAGCAAACGAAGAGCTGCATTTCAGTGAGCGATACGCTTATTGAATCCGAAAGAATCGGTTCCAGAGTCAGGCATCACTAATGGAGATTCTTTCGAACAATGCCTGATTCTCTGAGTCGATTCTTTGAAGAAGAATCATCAATGAATGAAATGAGATAGAAATCATGTACTTTTTCATTCTGAAATTTTCATGTACAGAGTAATGCATATTTTAATTGCCACTGACATTCAGTAAAACAGAACTAAATAATACAAAAACAAGAATAAGTAAATTAATATTATAAATAGTATATTAATTTAATATTATATTAAATATTAATATTATAATATTAGCCAGTTTCCAGATCACATGAAATGATCATTCAACAATCTGTAGCATCCAACACTGTTTCTATCTAATCGATGTATTTGATCCTTTCAGTGAGCGATGCAAGTATTGAACTAAAAGAATCGGTTCAAAAGAGTCAGAGTCACATATCATTAATGAAGATACTTACGATGCCTGATTCTCCGAATCTTTTGAATCGATTCTTTCTCAAAGCCAATGTTTTTAATATAACGAGCACAGTTAATCAGAAATATAACTATAATATATATATATATTTTTAAAGTAGGTCTACATGATTTCTGTGAGTAATGCAATCCAAGCACTCAATTGACTTTTGAAATTATTTTAATAACTTTATGCCATGAAAACATTTGACAGTGTAGTATTCAGTAATCCATGTTTTAAAGTGGGAAATAATAATAATAATTAAAGCTGCAAGCAGCATTTAGCGGTGTTCAAGCATTTAAGGCCTTTAAGGCCCTTAAGCACAAAAGCATCAAAAGACATTAAGTTGTATGTAGCAAGCATTTAACCACTGAGAATAGACCATGTTTTAGCATGATTTACCATGATATACCACATTTCAGTGTGATTTTTCATTATTTACAATGTTCCAGTATGATTTACCATGAATCTAGCATGATTTACCATAGTTTACCATGATATGCCAAGTTCTAGTATGATTCACCATGATTTATCCTGTTCTAGCATGATTTACCACAATTGAACATATTCTAGTATGATTTAATATGATTGTAGCATGATTTACCATGTTATAGGATGATTTACCATGATATACCACATTCTAGAATGATTTACCGCAGGATTGTAGCATGATTTGCCATGATACACCATGTAATACTATTGTTTACAATGATTTACCATGTTTCTATCGTGATTTACCATGATGCACCATATTGCTAGCATTAATGTGAAGTGTCAATAAAAATGAAGTGATAAACTTTGACAAAATATAATTGTGTTATAATAGTTCACATGGAAAAACTGGTTTGCTTTAGTGCAGAATACTGGTGAAAATCAAGTGTGTCAAAATGAAAGTGAGCCAATAAGTGGTCTTCTACTGCCCTCTGCTGGTCACTCTACTTAATAATAAAGTGTTTTCACAAGTGCTTTTGCATTCATATGTAGACATATGCTTACACACACACACACACACACACACATGGGATATGTTATTGTGAAAATCTCTTTTAATGGTGTATAAGCATGCATTTCACATATTTCTTTGTGATGTAATAATATAAAACTATATTAAAACTAATAAAAAAATAGCTTTAAGCGTTTGTTTGTTAGCCAATGCTGAAAGCTGATAAAAAAGATTAAAAATGTCGGTAACACTTTACAATAAGGTTCATTTATTAAACATTAGTTAATGTATTAATTAACATGAACTAACCATGAGCAATACATTTGTTACTGTTTTTGTTCATCTTTGTTAACACTAGAACGGCCACGACGGTCATTTTGACCGTTTTGAATTTTATATCTGCAATAACTTTGTTGAAAAAATAAATAAAATCCTGCTGGTACCCGACTTTTCCTAAAAGTGTCTGTATTTTCATTTAAAATGTTTTTAATATAAATTACACATAAGGCAAACAAACAAATGAACATATTTACCTATTTCGGCCATAGACGGTCATATTGACCGCACTGAATTTTGCGGTATTCTTTTGTTACATTTCTCGCGGTTGACCTTTGTCTATTAGGAAATAATCAGAAGATTCAATTGCAAAATGACAGATATGTTTATTGAGAGCTGGTCAGATGCTGGGAGAGTGAAGGTGTGCAAATGTCCGGTATGAAGCCCTTGGCAGCACAGGGACGCTGGAGTGAGTGCTGAACCAGGAGTGCTGAACACGGGATGACACACGGAAAACAGATACAGGCAGGGAACAAACACGCAGGAAAAATCCACAACGATCTGACAAAGGGCCTTTCTCAATCTGTATTCTTGTCTGTACTTGTGTCCTTGTGTTCTTGTGAAACGTCATCTTTTGTGGCCCAAGTACTGTCCCAATACAGAAGTTTGCATTTTGGCAAGAACAGTTAAAAATCCCGGATGTGTTCTTGACACGCCCATTTTACCGAGGATGCATCGGCTGGTAACTTGTGTGAACTTGACGGGAGAAATATCCCAGCATTCAATTCGGCATTCGAGGAAGGAGAGGCAGGTCAATACAGTATTTCGTTTTTCTACAATTACGTACACTATTTCATCACTAAATTCACTTCTGAGAACATTTGATGCGAGAAATCAACTGTGTAGATTTGAAATATTGGCATTTTACGAAAATGTATGGCTAATCGAAAATGTGCTCAAACGTTTTCGGAAGTGAGAATCTCCATAAGCGCCTGCGGGTGTAACGTTAGCTATCGAGCCAACCGGCCAGTTTGCTCACAGACTCGTTTTTCCCCACAGCCAAGAGACCATTGCAGCCTGGCTGTTATCGTCAACAATTCTCGTTATGTTTGGGCACTGCAGACGGTGTCTGTGCGGGGGTATTATTGCGCAATACCAGCAAGAACACATCGTCTCAAACTGTCAGCAGCGTTCTGTGTGCTCGTTAGCTTGTGAGTTCATTCTTCCAAGAACAACTAGCAAGAGCGTTCTCCCCAAGAACACAAGTCCGTTCTTTGCATTCTTGGTTTTGAGAAACACCCTAGGCGAGAACAGTAACACTGAAAAGGGTCGAATCGCTGATCATTTGCAGCTGGCGCGTTGATCAGAGCGCACGTGCTGATCAGCTGCATTGATCAGCGACCACGCACACACACACACACAACAAGACGAGAAAGGAGACAGCGAATTCATAAACCGTGACATTGTCTCTCTCACTGTCAAAAGAATATCTATATAAGATACTTTTAGTTGTTATTATCCTGTTCTGAGTTATGTTGAAGGGATATGGAAATATAGCTCTGTTGTGAATAGGCCCTATGCGATAATTACGGGCTACTGATATTATTATTTATAAATGTATAATTAAACTTTTTAAAATGTACAGTTTGGTGTTGTTTTGTTTTTAAAAGATATCCTAATACAACAAATGCATTAATCTCTCAATTGGGTATTTATCATTAAAGATATAGAGTTTGCAATCTAACGGTCAAAATGATCGCTTGTGGCAGTTCTAGTAGTTATGGAATTCTGGCACTTCTAGTGTTAACGTTAGTTAATACAAATCCAGCTGTTCATTGTTAGTTCAGGCAAAGAACGTATATTGACAAGAAGTGAAAGCCAATAGAACGTTCCATTGCAACACCAGCGCCCAGCAGCAGCCCTACGCGTCCGCCATTTTGGGGTGAAAGCGACTCGGCAGTCATATATTGTACATATATTTAGTCCAGTGCAGAGGTCATTTTTAGGTTGAAATAATTAGGTGATTATTTTAATTCACAACAGTTAACGTTATATCCGTTAAAAAGAAGTTGCTACTAGGCTTTTCCCCCACATAACTTGAGACAGGGAAGTTCAAGGATTTAATTAATTATATTAATCTCTACATTAAGTGTGACAGGTAAGAAGAATAAAGTGATGTAAGTTCATAAAGTTATAACGTTAGACCGTTTCCCAGGAGGTACACATAACCTTACATACAAAAATAAGTTCAATGAAATAAATGAATTCAGCAAATAAATGTAATTGTACTAAAATGTAAATGTTGGACAATAAATATATAACAGCAATAGAATAGCTTTACACTACAGTAAACTGTTTTTTTTGCAGTACTATTTTATATTAATTTTCTTCTTCAGAACCGGTGCCCAGTTAACCAATTCCCTGGAACCGTTAGTATGCCTGCTTAACGATTCCGCTTATCGGTTCCGCTCGTTGCAAATGTGTCATGACGTCACACACGCGCTGCGTTATTTTGATTCAGAACGCATCAAACATAACATCGAGGCAGAAGCGCTCGTTTGGTTATATTTCACGCGAAAAGACGACAATATATGAGGTGCCGTCTAGGGCTTAAATCAAACTTCATTCACGCACACATATATGAAACACTTGCATATACACGTATACTAAGTAGTC